TCTAGCAATGCATCGGTGAAAACTGCATTCAAATCCATGCATTCGTTTTCGAGTGATGCGCGAACAAACATACAGACAGACAGACAGACAGACAGACAGACAGACAGACAGACAGACAGACAAAAATTTTAAAAATGGTTGATTTGACTTCTGGTGCTTTAAAAAAGACCCCCCACATTAATTTTTCTTTAATATCTATAATGTACAGACATCGACCTGTTACAATTTTATTATATGTATAGATAACTGATCATTTCATTTTTAGTATACATATACGCAATTAAAACATACATTCTTGCCACTGCTAATCAATATTTCTTATTTAAAATGTTATAGATGCATCGCACACCACGGATTTAATCGGGCCCGCGATTAAGTTGGTGTAGTGTGCGCACCTCCATACATCTTCATGTACATGATCCTGTTCGATGCACGTAATAAAAGCGGCATTACTGCCGTACTGATGAAAAATGGTAACATTGCTGAAACTGCCTAACTGATAATATATTGCTAAAAATTCACACACAACGTGATACTTTAATTCGAGCAACACTGCGGTTGTGATTGCAACTCGAACAAGCCCCATATTTAAGCGAGCCCTATTATTTATATAGGCGGCCGATAAAGTCTGTGGTACGCGGTGGCTCTTATACATCTATTGCGTGTGTTGCAATATCCACGGAAGCAGCAGTTGATTTTTTCATAATTTTTTGTGAAGAAAATTATTTAAAAATATTAGAAAATTTTATACTTATGTATATGTTTGGCTTTCCTTTGTTTTATTTTTCCAAAATTAAAAGTTGGATTTGTTTTTTTAAAAAGTTGGTACAACAAAAAATACGAAACATGTTTTCTGTCAGATAGCTAACATGGCGGATAAGAAGAAGTGAATCTACCTTCTAAAAATTACACTGTGGAACAAATTCAGGTTAGCAAAAGTTAGGTCGATTCTGAGAGTGAGGCGTGAAAATAGAGGCTAAATTAGAAGACCCGTATCGCGGCGTTTGTTTATGTTAGTTCGAATTTTTTTTTAATCGACCTTCGAACTTTGCAGTCAAATGCCGATTTTCAGCATATTGTTTATATGGTTTTTTGGCTATACCTCGTCGACTAATTGATATTTTTTCAATCTGTTAAAGCCAAATTATTGCTAGAGACCTGTGCAACAATTGAAATTTAAAAAAAAAATTGATTTAGAAAATTTTTGTAGTGCTCTGAAGCAAAATGTTGGAATTTTTTTTCATGCTTTTTGAACATATTTTCCACAAACCTAAGTCTTTTTTGCTTTCTGTTTGATCTATAATATGCTTCTCAGTTTCTTCAATAAATTTCATTTGAAAAGAAAACAATCATAATACAAAACTTGCGTTTCCAGCTTAATATTAATTTACTTCTCATTTCTTATGTACCAATTTTTTCAGTGTTGGTTTTGAAGAAACATTGAAAAAGAAATTATAAAAATATGGAAAAAAATATAATTTTGAAATGTTAGTTATGAAAAGTTTTAAGTAAAAAAGTTAAATATATTAAATTAATGATTTGGCCAGTTGCCGTTTAGCAGGCGGCTGTGGGTCAACATCACTGCTCTCTCTAATATCTTGGTCATCGTCATCATCATCAGAAAGGTCGATAATTTCGTCCAACAGATATTCTGGAATTTCATCTTTGTCTTCCCCTTCTTCCTCTTTTTCCGCGTCTTCCTCTTCTTCAAAGGTGTTTTTATACCACCAACAAATTTCAGCGAGTATTGCATCTGGAGATTTCTTTCCTCTGTACCTGAAACGAAAATAGTTTTCAATCGATCAA